GTTGAATTATGCTAATTCATTCCTAATACAATACATCTTCTGTTGTGTAATATTACGGGTCCCCGGTGATAATTTACGTACTGGGGTATTTTTGATATTTTTTGAAAAGTTGGGATATTTTTTTATATATGGCAAAATTTGGGCATTTTTTTTATTCTCCCTTTTTATATATATAAATTTAAAAAAAAACTGCGTTTCACCATCAATTGAGCAGATATGTCGTTACCACGTCTGTTCATTTGTTTGCATTTTAATTGGGTGATCGGGTTAATGTTTGTCTGTCATCGCTTTGCACCTTTTCAACCAATCAGTGCTATCTTGGGAATAAAAAAATTATGAAAAGCAAGAAATGGCAAATGGCAGCAGCGGCGGGCGCAGCTTTAGTAGCTGCTCGGCTTGCTCACTGGCAATATCAGCAATATGTGTGCGTACTCGCAATTACATAGTAAATTTATAGTACATGTGCGAAGAAGAGTATTTTAATAAATTTCATGAACTTATTTTTTGCGAAAATGTGTGGCGTCTAATGAATTAGTATGTTTAAGAAGCGCCATCAGTCTCTGAAACTACTACAAGAGGTAGAAAGTATTGTCATTGAGGTGGCTTCTCGACTGATGCAATTGGACAATCAAGTGAAGGAGTTATTGAAGTATGATATCGACAAAGAGGGCGGCGTAACGGAGCTAGATGAAGCAGCCGACTCTACGCTAAATTCCTGTATGTTAATGCAACTATTTTACCAGGCGATTCCTGAAATTTTTGCATGTGGATTTATCGCAGGTGCTTTATCAAACTACCACTTTGACTCGCAGGCCAACAAGCTCAAAACAAAATGGGACTCGTACGATGTTGACGCTGATTTGGAGACTGATAAACAGGGAAATACAATAAGGAAATTTAATTTGGCTCGGTTAGTCCCAACGCACACAAGATCGAAGGCGCTTGCTATTTCACACGGGATTGAGCAAGAATTCGAAGCTGTGCTATCGTTTCTGGACGATATTCGTGGTGACGTCGAAGTGAAGCGGCTGCGTAAGTCTATTGTCAGCAAGATCACCACAGATTATCTAGCTCGGATCGACACCATCCAAGCAATGATTAAAAGCGATAGCTAGTGCATTCACCTTCCTGTTGTGTTGAAGTGCTTACACTTAAGGAAGTCACGTTGTTTATCAGAGTATAAGGCAACGTCGAATATTGTCTCCTAAAGTGTAGTCACAGAGTATATGGAGAGTCAACAACAGGCGTGATCAGTGACGTCAAAGAATGCTTGCCCTCGATAAATGGATGTACAGAGTAAAATCAACACTTAAGTAGATCGATAAATAAAAGGGTGACTGTTATATTAAACCTGGTTAAAGTGTCTCTGGTTTATCTCAGGAGACCGAGAGTTAGTAAGAAACTGTTCTCAGGGTCTTTTAACTTTGGCAATAATCTAAGCCGTTCTTGAAAAATCAAAAGTTCAAGAAAGCAAAACGTACAAGAAAATTAGGAAGCAGATTCTTACAGCGTAAGCGCTCCAACCTCAGCCACACTCGTAGTGAAAACGGATCCGACCAGTACTTGGCCAAGAGCTGACTAACGGCAAGATTGTTGAAAAGGAACATAGATGGAGAAGTGAAAAGATTGAAGCATCCAGATTGGATGTAGCGTGCATTTATTACTGCATCCATAATCGACTTTACCATAGTATATATTCATGCTTGAGCGCACCGCAGAAGAATTCGGTAGATTGAACCAAAGCCTTCGATAGCCGCAGGAAAGAAGACAGTTGCCCGTTTGATGACTGCACTGATGCTGAAAATGCAGCATCTTACAGTTTGTGCAGACGATTTCATCAAGGTTTTAAGGATAGGCGTCAAGTAGCGATAACTGATGAGAGACTGTCATTGTTGTGCTTTTCATCGCAAAGAAAGATGGTATAACTGGTCTTCGAGATTGTTGGCGAGAAAATATCGTCACTGTCAAAATTGGCAGCAAGCGGTTTCTATCACAAAAATACGTGTCAGAAAGAAGGAGATTTCTGATTCCCGTCAAGCGAGCTCACCCTGTATCTCGCCAAGGAGAACGCCGTCGCGAATGACGCGTGGATGACAATTTTGCTTAGCATATGCTCGACAATGATGGCATCGATGAAGCATACTTAACGACAGGGACGATTGAACCCTGTTGTTTTGGATATGGAAACTATAGAATATTTTGATCGCAAAACCTCACAGGAGCGTATCACGTGATTGTGAAGTTACTGAGCGGAAGACCTTCTGCGATCAACGTACACGCTAAAAGAACTCCGAGTAAAGTGGCAAGGAAAACGAGTGAATGTGATAAGTTGTGCTTTCATTTCAATATTCAGAACTTTGTGTGATATATCATATCTGTAAAGCAGAAGCCAAACACATCCGTTTTAGCGTTTAGTACCTCATCACGGTAGGCAGTCTCCAATTCGCCAATGCTATTGTCGACGACAGCGTCGGAGCTCAAGAAAAATATGTAGCCATTTCAAAAGAAATTGTGACCTGATAGGTAATCAAATACAAATTACTTTGCTGTTTTTAGCTTTCGATCTTTTCAAACTCTTATAGAGAGTCCGACCCCTAGCCCTATTGGGGTACTATTGACAAAAGAAAAGCCCTTGATTCCAAGGTCGTTAAAATGTTAGATTCGCTATTCCTTTTTCGTGTTATTCTTTTAGCGTTCAAGTGTAGTCGCAGAAAAGCATTGCCTCGTACCTGAAGTCGTCATTTAATTGATATGAATCACCGCTCTGTTTGACACCAGATTTTGAACACTGTCCGAAATTACGATGAAATAGCCTGAAGGTATTAACGAAGTGTTTTACCAATTATTGCGCTCAAAATAATACCACATCACTGCCTGACCTCTACCGTACCTGCTCTTCTGAGTGTTATTCCGCCAAGAATCCGCTTCCGTGCAACAAATTAAGTGGCTTAACAAGTGTAACGGGGTTACACGTACTCTGGAAACAGGTGTGTGTGTCACACGAGATGGGCAAGGTGTAACTGCACCCAAACAAGAATACGGTATGTGGCTAGATAGCCAGTAGTTTTGCATGTATTTGGATTTTACTATATATATTTAGGAAAATCTATGCATCTAAAATTAGGCGGGCTGGCCGCAGAAAAAAATAAATAAAAATCAGTTTTGGACTTTAAACGGAAGAGTAATTTGCCTTGGGTTAAGGCAATAATTAATCTTGGAGTAAGCGGATTGCGATCTGCTAACTCGTACTTGTTCTAAGTATAGAACGAA